CAGTAATTTTGTTATAAGGATAGAAAATCAGATAAAGCACAAACACTTAGCTAACATAACGAGTGTTCTGATTGGCTATTAGAATTACGGTTGCTATTTCAAATATTATAATTTAGTGAGTAATGATTACAGCATAAAGTAACACAGTACCCTATCGATCCTGACAAAATTGCGCATCGAAAATATTTTACGAAACCAATGGCCTTCCATAGAGTGGATATGAAATAACGGATTCTCCAAAGACAAAGGACTCAAGTAAGGAACTATTGAAAAGTGTGAAGAATAATTGAAAATTGCATGTAAAGCTATTTTCAAAACTTATTTGGGTGCATATAAAGACCGGAGAGAATTTCGGGCATTTTCAATGTGAAATTTGATCAATTACTGGTAGTCGATAAACGCCAAAATTATCTGCAATAAGTGTTGTAGTAAGATTCTAGTTATTTTGAACTTTTAAAATTTGAAAAATCTGATTGAATTAATTACAATGAAGTAATTGGAAATAATTTTCCTTTTAAAACGTCCACGGAGTCACACGATCTAGGAGGATCCTAGCAATGAATAATCACCGCAAAGAACCAATTGACGATTCCGAATTACTACCTAATTAACAAATCGAAATATTTATTTATATCAAATGGCAGGCGTCTTGGTGGTTATCATTAGCCCTTTAGTTGACTTCAGACTTCACAGAGGGGAAGGAACATCAAATTGAAAATAGTCGAGAGGGGGGGGGGGAACAGAAGAGTGTTTCAAAGATGTAAGAGACAAACACAAAGGTAGAAAAAAGGTGAGGTGAGTACGAGGTCGAGTAGAATATTTGCAATTTAAAAATTGAGGCAACTGCACCACATACTACACTTTGCACCACCATATTCGAGTGATAGCGACTTATCGCGGCACTTTAAGCAGCAGGCAGGACTTGGGTGATTTAATATTTAATGCCTTATACCATTAAACTCACTTTACGCCTAAAACTCACGCGATTTTGCGTTGATAAGAGCAATAAACCCGCTTTAGATTTCGCCAAGTGTATAAATATTGTCGATTCGACAATTTGTACGAAAATACGGGGTATTTAGTGCAGTGCCATCACTAACCGCCTAGTTGAAATTGTTGGTGACGCAGATCTTGTTATTCAGTGATGTGAACCACGGCAGTACTGATTGCTTCTAATAAAAGGAGTGGAGGGTTGTTTGTGAATCTCTCATTAGAGCGGGCATAAACAATATAACCTCTTTCTAAATCATTTTTTATTCCTGGATAGTATGTGACAAGAGGTGAGGTGCAATTCACCTTACGGAATTCGTTTAAGAAACAGATTTAGTTAGTTTTAAGCAGGAAGCAAACTAATTAAGGCTTTATTGCTCAAACTAATTGACTAAAGAGATTCGGGACGAAATAGGAAAATCAATTTCCTCATTTTCAGCAAAATTAAGTCATCGTTGGTTTCTAATACAATGTGTACCAATTCCAAAGCGGGAAGCTTCCACTTGAAGATCATTACTTAAGTGTCATTACACGGGTGAACTGAAACTGACGTCAAATATTACAATTCAATTGTCTATATAAGTAATGATTGGTTATACGAGTATATACGAATAATAGGCATTCTCTAGATATGGAATAAACATCCTCTGCATCCTGGGTATGGAAACACATGCCGCAATCAGGAACAAGACAGGTTGCATCTCAAAATAGCCAGCAATTTTCAGACCCCCATAAGCAAATGTTGGGTCCAGAACTATCTTAAAATTGTTAACTAAACTAAATGGGAAAGTTATTCGGATCATAGTAGCTATAAAACATGTTTATGGACACCCTATGGCATGTAGAGCAGTCACGTATGATTGAACTAAAGACTTTAAAGAAAGAAGTTGGGAAATTGTTGACGACCCACGAGTTCAAGGCTAAAAGAGTTCGATCAGAAGACCATGGGCACAAAGATTTTGGAATTCTGGAAAGTGAGAATACGGTTGTTTCAAGTTCTTATGGAGGCGTTTTGAGGAAGTTGAAGACATCCCTCTCCAAAACGGCACGGGAAACTGTACAGACAGATGTCTCTGAATATTCTCCAAGGGTTATCAGGGCCACATCCTTCTTGTAATTCAGAAATTTTTTTCCATAACTGTAAAAGTAAACTGCCTCTGATTTACACCTTTAGATGGGGTGACAAAGGATGCAATTTCAGTGTAATACACAGTCCGCGAAAAATTCTAACATGGAGGAATTTTCAGGTGAAAATGTAGATAATTAAATACCATAGGCAAAGATGGAGGCTACGCAGGAAAATCAAAGTAACTACTTGCCGAAATTGTATTCGTCTGAAAACGTTTTAACTCATTCTCGTGCATACATATACATTCGGCATGGCAATATTCCAAACCTTGACCCCGAGAGCTGTAGTTCTTGCTGTATTAACAAAACAGGAAGAAAGGTAACAAGACACCAGGCTTTTACTATGTGACTAAGGACCATTTAAAAGTTGAACACTAGCCCCACAGGCTCAACGGTTGAAAAATCAGGTACCTAGGTTCTAGAAGCTGAGATGCTCTATCTACCCCAATATAATATCGATAAAATTACATTTCTTCTTTTTAAGTACTTTAAAAGCATTCTGCTACACTAAAAAAATAAGCATATTTTCAGCCTCAATAACAATATTTTATAGAGCTCATCCGTTATTGATAGGTGGGCGAGAATGCCAACCTAAGAGTTCAAAAAGAAATAATTAAACATTACAAAAAACGCACACAAAACAGCTTGCTATGAAGGTGTACTGAGAAATCTACCCCAAACGAAATTACAGAAGAGATAAGTGCTAGGAAAACCAATGGAAATGAAAAGTCCAAAGACCAGAAGAACACTACTATACAGAGCGTGGAAATAGTGGAATTGTGGGAAAAATTAGTGGATTAAGAATTGCCGTGGGGGACTGGTTGGTAGTAATGAGGATATTCAAATGACTGCTGTCCATGCAGCTGCATTTGCTGGTAATCGTAGGAATAGAGAGGTGGATACTGGAGAACACTATCAGAATTTGATAATGGGACGAACACTGGGTCCGTTGAAACCACGGGTTGAGGTGATTGCGTCGATTGAACATCTGGCGAGGAAGTTAACGACACTTGTTGAGGTGGCTGAAAAGAAACATTTGCGGATATTAGTTTAATTAAATCAATTCACAAAATCTCAATCCCAATAAGGATTTAGAGTTTGGCAGCCAGCATGCAGGAGTTCAAGTCTGCATTCAGAGTGCCCCTTTTCCAGGTGAAATTTCGCATGCGAAATACAGGATTAGAAGATGTTCTCCATTTAAAAGAGTAAAAAAATTAACATGAGTAAAAACTCAAGAATAAATTAAAAATCCTTTATCGGGTGTTTATTTTAAAAATTCACATGCACATTAAATTTAGATTTACCAACTGATGGAAGACTAGGAGTAAACTCGGTTGATTGGTGCAAAAAATTGTTAACTAGATTTAACCAATACAAATAAAGTTCGGAGGGATAGATTTAGCTCAGTAGACTCCAAATATTAGGTTAAACTAACTATCCACTCCCTACCGATCTAATCATGCATATTCTACCAAACAAGGCAGGAAAGGGAGATTTATTAAAGTGCAAAAAGAGCGAAGTTCAATTTCGTAAAAACAAATCTGTATAAACCTAAGTCCCCAAAATGAGCAAAAGACTTTGATAAAGGACGGATCATGAAAGTGATTGTAAGTATAAAGATGAATGGACCATGTAAAATGAACTGATATCTTTCCAATCAGTCACTCACCCCCTAACCTTTCCTTAACAGAACCCCATTATTTATATAGAATATAAACAGATCACTTGCTTTACGAATGTGGAGCATTCTTTTCAAGATAACGGAAAGCTAAAAGCAAGATTTGATCAGTTTTACTAAACTACATACAGAAGAATCGATCTGGTTAGCTATTTAAAAGCCAAAGTATTTCATAAGCTTGGTCAAAATTACACAGATAATAAAGGTCACATGCTACCAATAAAATCACTTCGTGTTAATTTAATTAAGGGAAATGAGCATACACATCCAAAACATTAAGATGAGAATTTTAAGCTGTAAGCTAGAGGGGTTTGAAATAAAGCATAACATCTGAGCTCCACATACTCACCTAGCCGATATTATGAGACTGAAAAAAATTCGTGAACAAAATATGTCAGTGGCGTTAAATATTGAAGAACGATAGCCGATCCACAAACAGTACACAATCTAAAGGAAAAATGTAAAACCTACCGTCCACTTAAACTCATCACTTGCCCGATTTTCTTAAAGACCAGATTTCCCCCAAACCGGTAAGTTTTTTGCACTTATCAGAGGGGTGTGCGATAGCCTTACCTCCACGTGATGCACCCTGGGCAACGTATTCTCATACGGTAAAAAGCCTATTAACCGGCAGTTGACTTCTCACTTCAAACTACCATCACCCCCACTGTATGTCATATTCGACCCCTCCACAGCACTCATCTTACCTTTTCTCTGCCTTTGTATCTGTCTGTTACATCTGTGAATCGCTCTTCATTCCTCCCTATCATTTCTTCGCACTTTAATGCTCCTACCTTCTGTGAAGCCCGAAGTCAGCTAAATGGCTAATGATAGCTGTCCTGTGAAATAAAGGGCTAATGATAACTATCAAAATGCCTGCCATTTGAACTAAATAAATAAATATTCGCTAGTGTCAAAACTGTAAGTTGCTGAAAAGCACATAAGGTTTTGAACCCCTTAACCAAGGGAGAGATCATGAGTCAACGTAAAAAGACCGATCATCTTGAGTGAAAAAAACGGTAGATATGCGCTGAGCATCGTAGGCAGGCATTTACTGCAAACCATGGGACAAACCATGAAGTTCGAATTTTTGGAGCGCGGAATACCCACATTTGGTGAATTGTACCTGCCTGAAGATTCTGGTACCTTGAAAATGCTCTGTCTTCTTGATCTCATTTCCCCTTCCCTTTCGGCTAAACGACTCCAGTTACTTTCCAAGGTTATTGTGATTATAGGATAATAAGTAAAACATAGTTTAATTGGCTTTAACATATATGATGTAGCACTACGTGTGCTCAATAATAGCTCCACTCTAGCTAGAAATGTTCAAAGGGTGTGAATTCGGCCAATCATCATTTTGAACATCGTTTCACCTCTTCTTCACAAATCAAATTGTTTTCATCAATTCCTCTTTCTACTCCTTCTTCCATTACCCTCTCCTTTATTGCCAACTAACGCATACACAGTTGTTCAACCTAACTCATGACCTTCTCACAAAGGAAAGGCTCTTGTTTACTGTTAGTCTTAAGATCATTCATCTATGAGGAGACACCTAGCCTAATATGGTGGAACTGCTAAAGTAATTTTACTTGGTATTATCACTTTCTCAGGATGTAAAAGACATGGACCCTAGTAAATGCAACTTTGAAAGCTCTACATAATAAATAAGTGACCAGTTAGAGTGAATATAAATAAAATATAATTTCATGAAACAGCTAAAAGCAGGGTCTACTACTCTATGATAAAACCATGAATTACCTCCTGCTGATGTTGAGTGGATAGCTTTTCTAAATCAGCTGAAAGACGACTAATTTGGGATTCTTGATCACTTAGCAGTAGAAGAAGATCCTCATGTTCTGACTTGATGCTCTCCTTTTCATCATTAGCAATTTTCAATGCTTCTTGAAGGTCCTGAAAGTGATAATTGAAGAAAACACATCACGTAAATACGTAGTGATGCGAGAAAACGTATATATATATATATATATATATATATATATAAACCCTTACAATGATTCGTTTTTCAGCGTCTTCAAGCCTCTGAGTCTTTCCATTCAAACGGAAATCGGAAAAAGGAAATAAGAAGGCAAATTCAAGTATAGTGCAAAATTAGAAATAAGAAACTCACCAAAGATTGTTGTACTTCTATATTAGCTAAAGGAGGGTAAAAATTGAATGAACAGAATGTAATTTCAAGTTTCATCAACTTAAATCAAATGAGTAATTTATTCACCTGCTGAATCAGTATTGGCACCAGATGCACCATTTCGATTAGCACAATTCAATTGACGCTCTAATTCAATAACTCGGAGTTGGAGATGTTGTAGAGCGGCATCACGCTCGGCTACAGCTCTTTGGTAAGCTATAAGAAGTTCTTGTTGCTGGGCAAAGCGTTTATCTCCTTCTGGATCTTGACCATTATTGCGAGAAGTAGATTCAAGTGTTTCAGATAAAGGGTCATTTTGATGAGTCAAGAAGGAACATACTTCAACTGCAGACAAAAGGATTATGAAAATAAACTGCTAAACTTGAATTTAAGTAATAATTATATAACTGTTTCACAACTAACGATGCAAATCGTAAATATATTAAAGGGGTTAATATTGCCCGAGATTACTGAAGTTGAAAATAAGTAGTAAACTCACATTCAACAGATTTGAAGAGCTGTGTGAAGTCATAGTCAAAAACCAAATCAGAGGGTTTATTAGCTTCTAGAACAGGTTGTTGAATAACTCGAACAAACTCATCCGAGCGGTAGGCCTGTCCAATGCGTTTCACTAGATCATCAATACCAATGCGTTTGTCAATTATTTTCATGAGGGATTTGCTAAAGAGAAGAGAAATAATGTCATTTTGGAATTTACTTTCCATATTTGAAGAAACATTAACAAAATGAGATCTGTAGGCACTGTGAGTTAGGATTCATGAAATTCACCGCATTCTAGTGGAATCCCTGAGTGTTTTTTATCCCCTAAATTGTAATAACACTTTTAGGTGAAGCATAGTGAAACAATGCACAAATAGATGCTATAAAGCAAAACTCAAGTCATTCGAGAAAAGAAATGGCAGTAAAGAGAACTCATTTCTATGCACTTATTCGCCTCTCACTTAATTACGCTGCAATTTATCCTGAGGCAGAAGTGTGCACTTAAATATACACCACCTCACGTGAGTGGACTTAAATAAGATTAAGTGTTCCGTATCACAATAATTTAACACTTCACTTCAAGAGCTTTTAAAACTCTATTTACGTAGTGTAGTGGTACAAAAGTATGAGAAAAGAAGATAATACTTATCAGCACAGTTAACCTAACGGTCACCAGGCACATTGCCACTGAGAAGCCAATAGATAATCACTTGAAGAGCACTCAGATAAAATTGATTCAACGATGAGAAGATAGAGCCCGAGGCGTATTCGACCCCAACTCCTTTCTGTCTTTCATACACTTATGAGTCATTATTTCTGCTTAACTTACTTTACTTATTTTGAACAAACAACCGCCTGTGTACAAAAACAGTTTTCACAATATGTAGAGGACGCCACCGAAGTAGATTATGGGAAGGCAGACACAGAAATCACCAAAGAGAAGGTAATCAACTTTAAAACCTCACAAGCTGTGGGGTGTGCCGATTTAAGTTAGAAATGATAAAGGATGGGATTGTATTAATAAATTCACCGGTTCAGGGGATTAGGATGGAATTAAGATTGTGCCAACCAATTAAACAAAATAATGAAATCGATAAAAAAGTAATGGTGTAAACTCCAGTAAGCCTACTGTGAAACTTACTTACGGATCACTGGCAGGACAATATGCCAAATTTGTATTAAAACACTATTTTAGAAAAGCACAAACGGAGGGCGAACAGCACACTATCGAGCAAGAGAACATGACGCATAAGTAAGCATGCTTTCCAAGCAAATGATCAATAGGAAAACCCATTTGAATTAGTGCAATTCGCTATAATTGTCAGCAAAAAAGGAATAACTCAACAGACTTAACAAAAATCCGTCTTACCAGTCATAGTCTTCCACAGCTCCATTATTATAGCAGACACAGATGCCTATCAAAAGGGCCGAGAGACAGCTGACAATAGCACTTTCCTCTGACTCTCCCGATAGCACATCTGCAATAAGATGTGATAGAGCAGCCCCAGCCCCAGCACCGTTACTTTTATTCGAAGTGGTTGAGACGGAATTGGCCGAGTTAGTGGACGACGATGAGGGACGAAGAGTGAGAAAGGCTTCAACCGCAGGCGGACAGTGGGCAAGCCAAGCGCAAAGGAATTGCAACAAACCGATCTTCCCTTGAATGCGACCCGACTGTTTATGAATAAAAGAAAAATAAATTCATTATGAATGACAGGCAAAAATTCATGGTCAATGCGAGAATCGTTCACGGCCATTGACTTGAGCGAAGTAATTCATAGATAATCCGAAGGAAAAAAGTCACATTCCACTAATTCTTGATGATGTGGGCGTTGAAAACTGCGTCACAGAGTACGAATAAAACCAAATTATAATAGCTAATAAGACGCTTTCAATAAATGAGAAAATGATCAACTTGGAGCAGATATGAAAATATACGTCAGCAAGACTTGACACAAAGAATTCAATATTTGCTGGCGCATATCAAGTGCAAGGTAAAACCGTTCAACTGATAAAGAGAAGAGTAGACTTCAAAATATACACAATTTAGTGCAGGGAAGTGTGCTTTCGACAGGATTGGAAATGAAATACAAATTGAAATTATAGACACTAAAAGGGTCCATATTGTGCACATTCCCGATTTCTTAATTCTAGCTGCAACCAAATCACCGTGCGTCCATTTCATTTTCATAAAATCATTTTTACCCCATTCTTAGCCGAAACAGTAATTAATCGAAAATCCAGGACCTCAACTAAAGAAACCAACAATTGGAATGCTACTTAATAATATTAATGCATACATCACTAGAGACCAGAGATAAAATTGATTAATAATATCGTAATTCAATTACAAATTATTATTCGACGAACATCAAGTCTGTTATGTTCTATGAATTGTATTTATTAAATGAATGACAAGAGGGAAATGAAAGACTAACCTAATTCAAACGTTAGAATGATATACTCATCGTATTTGTTGACTTTGAAGCTTCATTTCTAGATATTTACCACTATAAGCCCTAAGCAAGTTAGAAGTAGTAGGCCAAACTGAAACGCATATCCACACGTATGATCAATGGTCGCCAACCCAAATGGTGGAACAGAGCGAATAAGAAGCAAATTGATGCCAACTCTAACCATTTACTATTTTTCTCGTCCCTGTTTTTATGCCTACCTTTCACACACGTTCAATAGACTTCATGTAGTTTTCTTTTCTATACAATGTACACTAATAATGGCTTAATTAGACAAGAATTACTATGCTACCAAGCTCATTTACATAACCATGGAGCCTCCATTGAGAAAAACTTGAATTCCGCTACCACTAGAAGCGCACCGCACCGATGAGCAATGGTTCACTTGGCCTAGAGATTGCCTCGATTATCTGCAAATTCAATCAAATCAAAAACTGGCATCAAGTATTGCTTAATGGAAAGAGTGTGCGAAGAACAGTTTCACTACTTCAATCAATAAGGATGAGAACAGTTTAGTAAGCGAGATTCGAGGCTAAGGCCAAAATCAAAATACTTTATGAGTACTCAACGCGTTATTTTCCCTCAAAAATTGAAATGACAGTTAGTATTCGGATAAATTCACCTCCACATTATTAATATACAAGAAATAAAGGTATTTTAAGATAATCTCATTTTAGCTGATAAGGGGTGTGCAATAGACTTACCTCCAAGTGGCCCACCCTGGGCAACGTATTCTCATACGGCAGTTGACTTTTCACTTTAAACTACCATGACCCCACAGTATGCCATATTCGACCACTTCACAGTACTCACCTCACCTTTTATCTACACTTGTGTCTGTCTCTTTTACATCTTTGAATCACTCTTCTCCCCCCCCCCCTCTCGATTTTTTTTCACTTTGATTTTCCTCCCTTTTGTGAAGCCTGACGTCAACTAAAGGGCCAATGATAACCATCAAAACGTCTGCCATTTGAAATAAATGAATAAATAAATATTAGCCGATGTTATGGCACCTTCGAATATGATGAATTATGAAAGCAAAATTAATTGTCAATCCAAATAAGTAATTGAATTTATCAGCGACTATGGGCAACAATATATTCAACTAAATGAGCGTCATAAACGCTGAAGGTAGTATATAAGAGTTTGTTAGACGCTATTACATCTATTGTCACACCTTACTCACACGATACATTTTAATTTTAAAAATGCTTACATGAGGCAAATGGCGCAGGAGACAGAATTATTCCGTACTGGAAAGATATGTCAGTGTTAACCTGACAACTGGAAACGCGCCCCAAAGAATATCAAACCACAAAAAAAGCCGAAAATCCCAAGAGTAAATAAAATTATCCCTTAAGCAGACGTGTGAGGTCATATCTTACGGATTTGATTGCCAAGAATTAATTCGTGAACCAACGAAAAGGAGGTGCATAGTTAGAACCACCTGAGGTGGAAAAGAGGCTCTATCAATTCGAGAGGTCGCCATAAGCACGATTAATGATGCTTTTTAAACGAATAGGTTTAGCCGAAGAAAACGTAAATATCTCCCCATCACCATTAGGGGAAAAATACCAATTAAAAGGTTCCAAAAAAGCGATTACTAAGATGATTTCTGTTGATGAAAAATTTAGATACTGTAGTCCTTTGGTAATGATAACAGTGCGATAAATTCCACAAATTGTGAGAAGTGTGGATTGTAACAAAGAAAAAAAACAGGAGAAGAGAAAAAAACCACTTCTTTGGGGTTAGCGTTAGCGTATATTGATAATTGAGTAGTACGCACGCACGCACACACACACACACACACACAGAGACTCAAAAGAGATAGCATCTTACTATGTTGTGTACACACCAAATTGAAGGAAATAACTATCCATAATTAGCTGTATCTCAAAGGGCCAGTCTGATTAGAGCATTATATTTATTACCTCATTTTACTATTTGTGCTAGCTCTCTATTAATAAACGTGCCAATATCTCAATGGGTAGCAAAGCAATGTTGAGTCATTATGAAGATCTCCATTGTCAATGAACAAAGAGATAATCCAATGAAGTAGGGAAGCCTGTGTTAGAAATGTACAGAGACACAAAGACGGTGTATATTTAAGTAAACTGAAGACTGAATACGCATGTACTGATTTTAAATACTTCCGCTAACAAGTGCGGAATTAGAGTGCACGATCTACTTACGGCTAATTTCTAGCATATCAAAATTTCGACAAATGTTACATGAACCTGCAGCGCTATTAAGTGCAATCGCATTAAAGTGCTAATAAAAGACGCTTGGAAACATCTCCATCGTAGTTACATGATTAGTTAGTATTTCTAATTCTATTTTAAGTGGAAAGGATAAAAAGAACCCATTTCAGTTTCTACTTTACCAACTACAAACCACCGCGAGGCTCATCTGAAGTTGACTTTAAATAGACTCATCAATCCCACATCAGGAAGGAGAATATTTGAACTTAAGTTCAACTTCCGACTCTGAGTTGAGTTAAGTCTTTTGAAAGGGCAAGTGCGACGAATGCAGAAAAATTGAGATAAATGCAAAAATCTGTAAAGCCATTTAAAAAAAAGGATTAAAAAAATACAAGCGAACGGTTGCAACAGAAGTTAGGCCTACTTCGAAAATTAACTTCAATTAATATTCCGGAATAAAAACTCGAAGAACGGCATTTCGATAATGCGAGAATTATTTGGGATCAAGTGCTAATGATAAGAACTATTGAGTGGCCAACTTTGATTATATAATAAGTGCGATCCTTGACTAAACAGTTTTCTACTAGTGAGGTAAAAATGCTGCGAAATGCAATTTGTGTACTTCTTAAGTTATTCACCTCTTGCAATGCCGATACACACAAAAATGACAACTAATTTGACGGATTACAGCTGCACTCAAATATTAAAAAAGAAAAAACCATCCATCTCCAATTGTGAAATAAATACTCATGTTAATAATATCGCTATCGGCTGAAACCGAAGTTGAGATCAACCATTAAGGAGGATTTAGTAAGTAGCATTTTCCAAAAAGTATATTCATGACCAGAGTGCAAATATCAAAAATTTAGCACTCATAAGTGTGATCGGTAGCTGCAATCACTGAATGAGACCAAGCAGATCGTGTATAAACTGATATTCCAACAGTTCTAGTGAAGCAGGAGAAACGACTCAGGAAAAATAAGGCTCAGAGCTGTAGAATGAAATGGGCAAGTTATAATCTAGCATACTTGGCAAATGAGACGGAAGCATTGTTGCATGAGAGTAACCGGGGGTCCACTGCCCGAGGAAGGAGCCATGTGAACTTGGAGTAGGGATTCTTTGAGGGCACGATTATGATGAATGGAATGGAATAAGGCGATTGCAGAAAACCACGCTGCTAGCCCGTCTTGAGAGAAAAGACCACCACAGAGCAGCTGTCCGGCGCTCATTACTGTAGATTCGTCTGTTATTGGGGGGAAAAATCGGCAGAAAAGGGTAATAGATAAGTGGTTTAACTCCTGTCAGGAGAAAATCTCATCAAGACATATTTGAAAAGACGAAATTGCAATAAGAAAACTGTTATTTGTGCTTCGTTGTGAAAATAAATTGTCATTATGAATTTTGACATTTAGTAAATATGGTTTGGCTGGTTTACATTTTTAAAATTTCTGACACTTCGTGCATTGGTGTTCGAAAAGCATTTTACATCGCAACATTTGGCTATTTTTCTGGTAGTGTTAAAGATGTTCACCCACATTACACTTCGTTTAAAAGTTGGAAAAAAAAAAGTTTTCCCCGATACGTGATGAAGAGAATGAATAATGATTGAAACCCATCAGAATCGTTGAAAGTTGTACCATGACCATAAAAAGGTAAGATCAAGGTCGCTTCCGAATTACTACCTTAATTAGGGATGAACTGCAAAAGTTTAAATGAGACAACAAGGCTGCTGTAGCTAAACGGAGCCAATATAAAATGATTTGATTTCATTGCGATAGCGCAGAAAGTTTCCCCAAAAGTTTGTCAAAGTAGAAGGTTTACTGATACCGAAATTTCGGGTTTGACTCCAGAGTTAGTTAAATGTTTCAACCTCTACCATGGCACTTGCTCTCAAAACAGACCTTCGCCAATGCAAGATCATACAAGCGTCCAAGGAGGTCAACTTCCCACAGAAATCGCCAGACAGAAGCGAAGAAACTTCCGAGTAAAATGAAGTACCGCAATGAAACATGGCATCCGTTTTTGTGGGTGAAACATTTTCGTCAAAATCAAATGAACAGATGGCTTGGCTTGCGTACAGTTGAAACTGGGCAGTTTAAGGAATCCTTGCATTCGAATTTGTTCCCATAATGACAATTGGCCACCTTTTAGTAAGCAACAAGCCTGTGAATTCATTAATTTGTAGCGTTGCAGTTAGAACAATAGAATATATACGAGTAAAAAATTCATATTAAATGCGCCTTTTCACAAAGTTGCAAGCTTAATCTTCATACATTATTGTAGGCGTTAAATATTTACCCCATCACTGTAATTTGCTCTTTTGACCCCTGCATTTGCTTGGACTACAATACGCCCCTAAGATTTTCTCATAACCTACCGAGTATACGCAAATTATGTGATATCAGCTGTGTATGCAAGCGCCCAAATAGGAGAGCTACAAAACTTTGTCCAATCATTTTAACTCATCCCCATCTGTGCCTCTTTTAGTAGGGTGGCAATAGAAATATATAATTGAAAAGCTCACACACTATAACATCAATAAAAGAATGCAGCAAAGCCGAGTGTGAGTTTAGTTTGCAATGAAAATATTTAATACCCATGCAAAAATTTAGCCTTTGGAAATTGTATACAAGTAGAGACTTACGTTCAGTATCCTTTGGCAATAGCGTAGAAACCACAGCACTTTGAATATCCTTATTATCTGCTAGAAGGCATTGAAAACAATACAGCACAGCCAAACGAACAGGTAATTGTTGCCTATCATTCACCATAGTAACAAGGAGAACAGTAATGGCAGGTTGGGGTGGTGTTGAAGGCGCTACCATACTAACCAGAGACTCTTGACTTGTAGGGCAGCCTCGAACTAGTTCACCAAGACTGTAGAGGGTTTCAGTAAGGAGCTCGGCTGGAACCCCACCAGCCATAACAACCTTCCAAAGACTATTCAGAAGACCACAAGCTTCCATTTCTGATTGGCAGCTTTTGACACATTGGCTCTTATTGCTGGGACTCACCAAAGCCCTGAAGATCTAGAATGGAGAAAAATGTTTAAATTCCCATACTGACGGTAACTTGTTATGACTACTTCTCTGCAGTCCACTATGAAAATCAACCTCGACAAAGCTCATATCGTACACCCAGTAAATCGATTCATACTAACTTTCCCACAACACAATAGGAACACCATCATCACCATGACTCAATCCAAATGCAAAATCTTCTTCGTTCCCTTGTGTGCGGGCATCATCTGTCAGTCACACAGACCTTCCATCTGTTCCAAATTAAGTTTACAAGCCAACTTCAAGATCAAAATAAGTTATATATACTTAGTTTCGTCTTAGCGAAGTTAAGGCAGCACTTGCAAGTGTAATCTGGTTTCCCAATAGAAATTGAACCCAACAATAGACAAGTTAGCTAAAAATTCATCGAGTCATTGCCATTCGCCTAGAATTTGCTATAAGATAAAAAGGTCTAAGTAATACTTAGTGTCCCAGTAAGATAATGATAAGAAAATAACGCACCTTAAGCAACCAACTAACATTGACCAGCTTCTGTGCTGACCACGTCGAAGCCTCTTCTAACTCCTCGGGAATAAATTCGAAGAGCTTTGCCAACCTTTGAACAAATCTACCATCTTTAAAGAGTATTTGATTCTGCTGATTTCCAACTAGAAGTTGATGAAGTAGACGGAAGCAGTCTTCAACGACTACACCTCCTTCTCCAACAGTCTCAGTCTCTACGATGGATATGACACGCTCAAACACATTTTCAAAAGCCACAATCTTCTGAATAGTTGCGTGGTGTTTCGTGAAGTAGAACAAGAGAAGAAGACCCTGTAAAACAAAATGATAAATGAGTAGAACTACTCATTTTGACACTTATGAGCATTAACATTGTTTGTTAGCACACATCATTCCTGATGACCTCCATAGGATCACTTAGTGTAGCCATAAATTTAGACACAGCCATCGGTGAGTTGAGAAGCAAGTCCTGGACAGTCTTCCTATTGTTTTGCAGCAACAGAATCAGCAAATGAATGGTTTGTCTTCTCAAATGCATATCGTAGGACTAAAAGGAATAACTCGTATTTTACAATCTTAAAGCTTTACTCAATTTCATTTCAGTAGTAACACTTTAGAAACTTCAGAACTTACAGATAGGAATGAAAGTACTAAGTGAACATTTTCGTGATCCTTGACAAAAATCTCAGTGAACTGCTTGCCCAGATCAGGAGGAATATTGACAAGGACTTGTGGATCCACGTCAGTTCGCGAATCATTCATTATGTTACAAAGAGTATCCATGGCATATGAGACGGTATCCGTGTCTTCACTAAAATAATATTAAAATTACTTCTGATGGTAAGGTGAACTAAACCACTTCATAGAAAATATCTCGAGATTTGACTAATTAGAGGAGAAACATTCGACATTCACCGGAGAACAAAACAGTTTCAGCAAAATACAGCATAACAATGACAAACCAGAGAGCTCGAAAGCGAATTAAACAAGGAAATAAGGATTGCTTAATGGAAATTAAGATTTTCACCAGTAAAGATAAAAATTTCTCACGTAGAAATCGCTTCCAATTTGTCTAATGGAGACATTATTTTCTCAAGTCCATGGTTTTAACTCGATTTTGGAGGAACATAAAAGGGAATTCTAACAGGATGACATTTTCATCGAGGAGGTTAAAATCTTCTAAGAGAGCAGATAATTGATTCACAATATCCTGAAACGAGGTCAAATTATCAATTAACTATAATTTGGCAACTATATAATGACCAATATTCCCACAAGCCTCGTTTCAATTGCATCAATTTATGTTTACCTAAACAAAATAAGGCAAATGTGTTCGAAAATTAATCTATAATAACGCTATTAGAAAACTTCAGATATATAAAATGAACTTCATACCTAAAACGTGTTCACCGTAACTTAAAGACTACGTTTGTTAGAAAATAAAACCGAATATTTGATAAAAGTACATAGATAAGAGAAACGTAGAAATTACCCACTAAACTGTGGAAAGAAATAAAGCATAGAGTATCAGAAACACAAAAAATATCTGCCTTATTTTGCTCATATTAAAAATTATAACATCCGTCACAATGTAGCATTTAAATTTCCTAAAATTTAAATGCACGTGTAAGGATAATCGATTTTTTAAGAATTTGAAGTCACATCGCAGTGTTAATTCAGTTAGATTAGTGAAGTCAAAGCTAAGATGGAATGTGGAGATCAAATTACAAAGAAGTCAGTGCACTTCAACGAAGTCGTAGAAGTTTTTGAGTACGATGTAACTAGAACCAAAGTCCAAAAATGCGTCATGCTGGTTCAATCAAGATATGCTGATCTCCTTGGAGACAAAAGTGACAAACGCATCTTTTGCATTGCTCGTCTAACTAATTGCACAACATGGCTGGATACATTCACCACCAGACGTAATAAACACGGTGAAAAGTGCTTCATAGTAACAGTAGAAGGAAAAAGGGAAGCAGATCTGAAGATATTTCAAAAGTTGATACACGCCAAATTCCCCGACATCTTATTCAATCGGGCTTAATAAGATGCATTAAGATGCGAATAAGATGATCCAATCGAATGTCTTATCCTGTAAATATTAACAATTATCAACTCTCAAATGATTCGTTTTTTGTGATTCGTGTTAAACCAAATTCAGAAACCTACAAAGGCAGATGACATAAAACAGCAAAAAGCTGCGATTTTGGCTAATGCTAGCAGTAAATTCATCTAATGTAGAAATTCCCATGCAAATAATATTCAAAAACTCCATGCCTACCACTTCTAGGCCAAGCACTCTGAAAGAAATATCCACAAGAAGCCGTATGTGACGCCATGAGACATCGAACTAACACCTTCCTGGAAACATGCGTCCTGTCCAATGATTCCATCATAAAGATCCCAGATTTCCAAAGCGTTAAAGGAAATGGTTACCTATCTGTTGGAGCACTCGAACTTGGAATAAGTAAATCATACTAAGCTGTCAATGAAATTTAATTCTACCGCAATTTTTGCCTCAAAAGAAGTAATAGATATCAGAGAAAAACATTGAACAAGTGAAACCGATATCTGCCTACTGAAATGGAAATAGGACGGGATCTAATAAAGGCAGTCAGAAGAAATGGATAATAGTTAATGGAATTAAACCTATCCGCCACACAGCCCATCCCTTCGGTAGTGAACTGCACAAGTATTCGATGAGATCAAGAAAACTTTGAATAGACGGGACCAAAAACACTGAAAGCCCAGAGAGAGGTTTCAATACAAATAAAACAGAGTGGATGAAGTAACAAGATGAATTCTACAACTCTATGTCTAACTGCCGCTTGATTAATCTAAAATAAACCAATTGATTAAAATATTAATAAATCCAATAAACCTATCTCTATTTCATTTAATTCTTCATAGAGTAATATATCTAATTTCGAGTTAAATTGGTCTATAGGGTAAACTTGGAATCTGAACTCAAAATCTAGGTATTAAATTGAGAAAAAGGTTTCCAAATTTGATATTAACCTTAAGATGAACGGTTGGATTTTATTAAAAACTACGTGTAAGTCTTCAAGCACATTGACAGTGAGGAATTTGAAGTAGACTAAGCTAGCAAATCCCATCCGATCATCTCGGGTACAGAGCAGAAAATGGTGGAGACCTTTATGTCCTTTAGTCTTAAAGTGCCTTGTCAAAGAAATTATTTCCACTTTAAATAAATTATTGCATAGATCACGGTTCCAGACAGTAATTCCCTTGACTAATTTGAAACCTTGATAGTTAAAAAATATTCAATGTGTAATATGGTCCATGGCTAAATTCAAACTGCATAACAAAACCATATAGATTGTAGACACGCAATTCGTTAAGAATAAATACAGCCACGTGGTAACATTAAGTTTAAGCAAAAATTGATTACTCCAAAGAAAGTCACATTGAGAGAAAACTCAAGTTCAATCTAATTAAATGCATATCACTAAGAAAAACGTGGGAATTGAAAGATTTTTAGAGTCAAGGAAGAGTAAAAAAATGACCACTGACCTATCACGAGAAAGAGCCTCAACACAAGCTGACATGGCTTGAGTTCCAACCTCTAATCTGTAGCGTTTAGAGAGTGCCTTGATTCCACGCATAGAATCGCGACGGTCTTCGGCTCGAGTTGCAGTTTGAAGACGCTCGACCAGGATCTCAATCTATAGATAGGAAAATTTTACATTTATAAGTTAGGAAGATGCACAAAATCTGTTGGCATTCGAATAAAACCGCGATAAAGAAATGTCACTTATGGGTATCCGATTCAGATAACAAACAAGACTTTGCACAAAACATGGTAAGGTGAGCTAATGGTTCAAATTCATTAAGTCGCTTAAAACCGTTTTGAAATTATCATGAAAAAAGTCTCCATGGGAGGAATTTTCTGAAATGATATATTTTCCACATCTTGAACACCTACATGCACTTCAAAAGTTTTCGAAATAAAACCATTAAAACCAAAAATATATGCAGTTAAACTGTCTTATCATTTTAAGATTTATAGCCTACTTCAATTCTTACTGTGAAGGTAGAGCTCAAATGATACATTAACTAAAATGGAAGAAATCAAGGATCCATGAAAGCAGAAGTGGTTCGAAAATATACTTATGTGTTAGGTTCATGAACAATCCTGACAAATAAGAAAGTTAATGTCCTCAATATTATCTTTATGATATTTTCAATTCTGAAATTATTGAAAACTAAGAAGCAAAAGATGAAAAAGGTAGGGCAATAGAGAAATAGACGAAATAGATGAGCACAACAAATGAAAAGGTTAAATAGACTCACGGCATTCACACCAGCGTCCTCGTTAATCTCATTTGAAGAAGAGAGGTAACGCCGAATTAAGTCCATATCTAAAAATAATAGGTCAACAGGTCAAATAGGCAAAGAATAGAATAAAAGGAACACGAAGCTTAAAAAATTGCATGTAACCTAAAAGACTGACAATATAAAATGAATATTTAAGCAGGAGAGTGGAAAGCGATAATGAGACAGCAAATACTTCGTGTGCAAACAATATAGTTCAAATCCTTCAATTTAGATCGACAAAAATATAAGTCAAGAAAAAAATTTTAACGGAAAAATGAATTGAATCCATTTTTATGGATTATTTTCAAGGGAGAAAGTATCAGCTATAAAAGACTAAACTATGCAGAAATAATAGTGGAATTTTACATTTGCCTTATGCGTCAAATATTGCCAAATAGTCGCTATTACCGGCAGACAAAACGCGGCAATTCTAACCAATTACAATTCAGTGTTAATGTTAACAATTTTGGCGAAAATCTGGACAAAGTTATTGTTTATTCTTTTTTAATTTAAATAATTTTAATTTTTTATATACTATTTAGCAAGATTTATGCTCCTCATTTTAATTAAATGAAATGTTTTAATAGTTTCAATGAGTGGTTTTATTTAATATATTATTAAATCTAAAATTTATAGGAATTATATTATTAACAACCACTCCAAGCCGTTTGCATATGAATAAAAGTCGTTGATTAGATTATAAATACATTAATGTCATTATATAAAAGGCTTGAAGCTATCAAAATGATAGAAATATCAATAGTTCAATGAGTTTGGAGGAGAATTTCGATTACAATTCCTACAGATTCACTTCATGCAAGTGTAAACTACGGCCTAGGTATATATCGTCCTAAAAATGAAAAGTTACACAGCTTCAATTCCTATGCTGCATCGGACCCTGGGCGACTTATATCCTCCATTAGAGATCTCTAAAACTACAAGGTGAAAATATGAGTATGTATAACGAATAAATATTTCCATTAATAAAATTTAGATTCATTGAGATATTTTACTACCATATCCAAAATAAGTATTTACCCTCATTTGCCTATTTAAATAATTGTAATTTATGATATGCTTTAAATAATTTAAGCCGATTTTAAATAACTGTTCCTTATAATCGGCAAGTTTATATTATCGTAATTTTAATTTTTAATTTTTTTCAATTTTTACTTTTATAACTATCCATTAATTCTCAGGGATATATTATCAATATTAAGCACACCTGTTATTAAAACGTTTGCAAATAGGTTTGAATACATGACTTTAAATAGGGAATCATTGATGAAAAATATTTCTTCGCCGATTGACTTATGGCTGCTTCTGCACTTTTACATATATTTATTAAATCCATTACTTACCTGTGTTTTTGATATTTTGACAGTTTTGTTTCCTGTTGGAGTTGCTAGATACTGACTGTTGATGTACAATTAATAATAGATTCAAAATTTCAAACCTAAAAAGTTGTCTTTTGAATCTCAAAGAAAATATTTGATCTTAAATGCATCCTTACTTTTTGCAGTGCTTAATAGTGAAGCCTTTGTCGAACAAGCATTGACTTATCCTCAATTCCCTCTATGACGAGATTCGCTAGTATTGATTGGCATCTAAAGCTATCCAAGCTACCTCAATATTGAGGAAACAGACGTATAGTAGAGTGCAAGCTTATTTAGGCTGCGTGCACCTGGCACAGAGCTTAGTCGTTATGTGCAATTTTGTCTACTTTGACCATGCCGTGACTATTAATTGTTGACTGACTGAACGGTCTATGTACTCACAACCGCACACGCTCCTTCACGTGATCAGCAGCATGTCCGTCCCTGATGGATAATGTACAAGTAGCATGCCGCATGTTTCCACATGCTCTAGTGCAACCAAAGCCTTTTATTTCTTATCTGAATATATCATTTTGTCAGTTGATCAATGGAAACATAACCATTTATGTCCAATATCAATTTTATGAGAGAGCAGAGGCCAAATATAGAAAAATAACAAAATTAAACCTTCAGGATTTGGTTAGAAGTGTGTATTATTATTCCTTTAATAAGTCTGATTCAATGCGCATGAAACAACTAACTATAATACACAGTTTTAACTCTACCAAATATTTATGTTAAAATTGCATGGACTTTAAATTAAATATAATGGAAAGTGACAAATTTCTCAGTAAGGCTATTTCAATAGGAATCAATAATCTTGTTCAAAAAACCATCCACAGATCTCGTGAATTCAAGTTTTTATCTTCCAGATAACCCAGAAATATTTCAATTGAATTGGTTTATTCTACCCTTTAGTTTGCGTATCTTGGTCCAATTCTGATAGCAAAGAATATTTTGCAGAATAGAGAGATCAATAGAACAAAGAAGAAGAAAATATGTGCATATCTTCTGAACTAATAGGTGACAATAACCTAAATACGAATACAAGTACGACAATAGAAAACACCATGTATTAAATGCTGTAACACCTAGCAACACTGACTCCTATATTATTTATAGTTTTCATTGCCAATTCAATCCCATTTGACCATCCTTCCTTATTTTGTTGCTAACAGTCAAATAATATTTCTGAGGCGATAATATACTGTTTTGAGATTGTTTCATTCAACGAGTGGCATCAAGGAACAGTTGCCAAATTAGGAGTTTGAGAATTGTCATTTAAAGAAATTCTTATGTTGTTATAAAATTGTTCATTTAGTTAACTATCAGCATTTAGATTTAAAGTTTAATTAATATTTTCCGTACTAGTCTTAGTAAAGTTGTGATAATCCTAATCAATATACGAACCACCATTTGAATGATAATAATAACTATTGTTTACATTGTATTCCTCTTCGCCTCATTTAGCTTTGCTTCATCGTGAGAATAAACAGCCTTGACTTTGTATTTAAAAAACTTTCATGCTCACTAAAACATTCTAGAAAGTGTGGCGTGCTCCTAATCGCCTAGCCAACGGGTGCGGCCGTGCAAGAAGAGACTGCTCAGCTAGCCAACCAATCAATAGTCACTGCAACGTTGCGTAGTCTTAATTCTATTTTTATGACGTAGCTTTGTGGTAGTTACAATAAACGCTCTTAATCTGGTACTTTCTGTGTTCTAACTTCTTTAAGCGTATTCTGAGTAGTTCCTGGAACAATTTTAAACTGGTGAAATTTACCAGAGTGGGATATCGCGGTTTATTCAAGCTATATTTGTGCAGTATTTACCACAGCTTAAATAAAACGCGAATCTAATATTACTTTCTACAAATAATAATTTTTATTCAAAGATATACTTATCGCCTTACTCCAAAAAACAATTATTTTTTATTACTCATATCTATTTTATGAAAGGTGACATATTTATTGACACTTGCATGGGTGCGATTTTAGAGAAATCACTTAATAAAAGCTATGAAAATGCAAAAGTTAGTACGCTTTCATATATGATCCTCATAATTGGGCTGGTGTCCTTTCTAAGCGTGCAAAAGTTCGTACTAGTGAATGAGAGAGACTGCCAACAGCAGTAATGAGGAATGAAGAGGTTTCTTTCCACCCGGATTATACAGTTGGAATTAAGGGGCTAACGAGCTTGGTCGTGGACATTCCATATTCAACAACATTTTATTCCTCCCAAAGTAGTGCTTGGCTTGGGCGGAGGAGACATAATGGGTGTGAAATCAATTGGCTCTGAAATTGGCTATCAAATAAGTGGTCACCAGTTTGCAGTGGGAATTCTTTCACATTTTAGAAATAAATAAATAACTTGCATGAATTCTTAGTTGGGAGGGTATTAGTATTCTCTCAGGTTAATATTTGTTTGGCGCATTGACAATAATTTGACAATCACTCACCATGCCATTTGCAAACTAAAATGCTGATAGAAATCTAAATTTAATTTCAAGAAATTTGCTACTAAAACTATTTTTGTGTCTGTTCAAGTTTACAGACAGATCCTCCTTGAAATTGTTGCTAACCTTCTAAACATTCGGTAATTAATTTTTGGAAAAGTATAACTGGAATATGAACCCAGTTGACTATATTATTTCAACGTAGGCGAAGAGGTGCGAAACACTTCTATTCTAACGAGAATGGCATAATATCTAATCCATCTTAAAGACTTTCTAAATAGGAGATCATTGTTGAACACCAAAGGCAATTAGCTAGATTAATAATCGTTTGGTTTATCTTAAGTCCTCTTCTCCAAGTTGACGCAAAACTCCTGAACAGAGCGTTTAATTTGCTGCCAATTTCAATATATTTGTTCTACGGTAGACCTAGCTCGAATTTAGATATTTATATAATATACTTCTCAACCCGACATGCACTCTAGGTTCTAGCAGATACTTCCAAATACGTCAAAAAGTCATCATTGAAACAAATAAATGCCTTTCAGAAACTATGGCTTCCGAAGTTAAAAATATTCCAACTCGTCATATCATGGTAGGTTCATATATTAGTCCAATGGCCTTCAAACTGGCTTCTAACAAGTTAGCACCACTTTCCGAAATTGCTAATGCTAACACAAGCCACCACATTTTCAAGAGATTTTTTTATATCAAATGGCAGGCGTCTTGATGGTTATCATTAGCACTTTAGTTAACTTCAGACTTCACAGAGGGGAAGGAACATCAAAGTGAAAAAAATTTGAGAGGGGGGGGGGCAGAAGAGTGTTTCAAAGACGAAGGTAGAAAAGGTAGAAAAAAGGTGAGGTGAGCATTGTGGAAGTACTTGAATATGACATACAGTGGAGTGATGGTAGTTTGAAGTCAGAAGTCAACTGCCAGGTAATAGACTTTTTTGCCGTATGAGTATACGTTGCCCAGGGTGCACCACGTGGAGGTAAGTCTATCGCACACCCCTATTTTCAAGAGATGGATCAGTTTTAAAGGGTTCTAACAAGGTGACCTCTCATCACATGTTTTTATAATACTAAATATTTCCACTAAGTCAAAAGGGTTTATTTGCCAATGCAGAGGCTGCTAAAGAAATGAGAGTCTTTTCAATTAAATTGTTTGCTAAAAATAAGTATTTTCAAGCACCTTAGAATATACATGATAGTGAG